GGGGGGGGCATGCCTTCCCAGCTCAGCGACTGGTGCCTCCTGGGTGTGGGGGGGCACCCAGGGTCCCCCTGTGGCCAATCACCAAGCCAGGAGGGCCTGGGTGGGGCCCCCATTGTGCTCCCAGGCAGACCTGGAAGTGGACAAGAAGTATTTCTGGTCCACTTCCAGGTTCACTGCCAAGAACGCTGGAGAGCCCCCCGTGCTGCTGTGGGATGCTCCATGCACCCCAGCACCGCAGCAATTATGAGCCGTGCCTGCTACTTCAAGGTATGTAGAAAAAACTTTTAAAGCTGTGCCTGTGTCCGAATAGCTGATTTGCCAAATCAGCATCTTCAGATTCGGATTTGGCCGGATTTAATCTGAGACAGTGATCTGAATCAATGGATCGAATCACTGTCCCTGATATGGGCCGAATCTGAATCGAATAGGGCCCTCTGTGCACAGCTCTACTAAGTATATAAATCTGTGTATAACTGTTGTTCATGTTTCTCTGTTTGTTGCTGTGTACCTTTCAATATTATATGTCTTAGTCATAATGCATATACAATAAAAGGACCTGTCATGTTCATAAGCTTTCTGAAAAATTTTACTTTTGACCTACATTATGTAGGCCCAAACTAGTGCTAAAATCTCATCTTTTAGTCTCTGTTCTGTAAAATATTAATTGAAAATATTCATAACTGTACAACCTGCATTTTATGAGCCATGAATATAGATTGTGCATTCTTCCATATAAATTCACTGCCATGAGAGGACAAGTTATATGATGTTTGCATGTGCGTGAATAGGATGTTTTGTATTGATTTAAGCACTTGTCATTATGTTAAAAAATCACCATTTTCATTTAATTTTTGTCATTTTATTTTTTATTAATTTTCAATGCATTATATATATGTAAAAGGTGTGTGTGTCTGTGTATGTGTCTGTTCATATTTATCTCTCTTTTTTTCTCCTAGTTTTCTTATTTAATCTCAGGTCATATTTTATAGTTATTTACATTTTTGTTCTGTTGAATGTAACAAAAATCTTTTTTTGCCACATCTGAGTTTTAGAACAAAACATGTTTGCTTTGTTATAAGTACTTGGTTTTGTTTTTCCTAACCTTCTCTCCACAATCATAATTGAGGTCATTTAAATGGTAGTATATTTTGTCATGTTTGTGTGTTTGGTAAACCATCTTCCATTAGATTTATCAGCAAATCTAATCCTAATTCTGGATTTAGGTACTCCAGACTGAATCCAGTATAACTCAATTGTCTGCCTCAATTCTTGATTTATATTATCATAGCTGACACCAGAATCTAGCTCTTTCTTTTTAGGAACAGCAAAGAGTTCATAGTACCTTCTCAAAATGGCAACAGTATCCTGTTTTTGTAGCAAGAGACTTTGCATCATAATTGGTGCCATGAAATCTTTGTACATTCCATTTTGGTAGGATCTCTGTCTGTTGTGTGATCAAGGGTTTTGAGACTGTGATTTTCTGTGGTGGCAGAGGTACAGCCCAAATGCTGGTATAAGTCATAGAGACAGAGCATTTTTGTCTCCTGTCTAGTTTCCCTCTGTTCCATACAGATTAGAGTCATAAGACATGTAAATCAGACTTTAATTCAGTAATCATGAGTAAGAGAGCCCATATAATTTTCCTTCTCTTCATCAATTGAAATGCATCAGACATCATGCAGTTACTATGATTACAAACGGAAATTGGCTAAATGCATTAACCGTAATCAGTCATGTGTCTAATTAGTTATTTGTATGCATATTTACCTATCTTGTATGTTCAGTAATAGCAACTAAGTGCAAAAATTAAGCAGACAATTGTACATACACTTTGCATGCTTATCACTGTTTTTCTACTCAAGTATTCAAAGTTACCGCCAATTATTGAAGTTCTTGCCTTTATGTCAGTTTCTGTAGCAGTTTCCAGCTGCAAGCACATCTAGGCTAGGGACAGGCATTACACATAAACCAGTTTAAGTGATCAGAAACTGGTTTAAACCTGTAACAGAACAGATGTTCAATGCACATAAACCAGTTTGAAAATGGCTGAAAGCGGTTTGAGATAGACCTGGTTGAATGTAGTATCAGACTTAACTGATTAGAGTCAAAGTGGTTTATGCAATGTCTGTCCCAGACACCTTCCTGGGGTAACTTAAACTAGAGTCCCCCAGCATCCCAGCATGCTCTCTGGGCTGGGCGGATCTCTGCTCCACAGCAGGGCTGGCCCCTCCCTTGTGCTCCCTGGCCAGAGTTCCTGCAGGCACAGCAGGGTCTGCTGGCTTCCCCATACATCCTCCCCCTACCCTCTTACCACTTGCTGCTTAAGCAGGGAACTCTTCTTCCTCTCTACAACAGCATGGACCATAGCCAGCCTGTGGAATGCTAGCTAATCCTGTGTAAGGCTCTGGCAGAGACTGCAGACACAGCAAATTCTGCCTGGCTACCCCCAGCCCTCCCCGCCCCTTTACTGCTCAAGCAGGAAATCCCCTTCTCCCCCACTCCATGCCCCCTCACTCCCTCCATCTCCCACAGTATGGACCCAAGCCCCACAGACCCTAGGCATGTGGTATGCTAGGTAATGCTGAGAGGTGTCTGTGTGTGTCTCTCTCCAACGTCACTGCAGCAGGCAGACAGAATAGTGACTGTTTAGGGCTGTTTGGAGCTAACTAGTGGGTCAGCTGGGAGACAGTTTAAGAAGTTTGAAGTAATGGAAGGAGGCCATTGCTTTGCTAATTGGGTGATAAACACTGTTAACACTATTAGCCCTTAGCTGACTTGCTTGCCTGTCAGTTTGCTGCAGACAGTATGACGTAGCAGGATGGGAGATTGAAAAGCTCCGTATCATCAACAGATGCATGCCCTGCACCCCCCACCCTTTGCCTCAGAGTGCTAACCTGGGCCTGGCAACACTCCGGCCCCTTGAGCAGCCAGCAGGAGCCTGGGACCGGGCAGGCAGACCTTCCTAAAGAGAGAGTCCTGCTGGGGGCTGGCCACACCCGCTTCAGCTCAGCTCTCTGCAGAAGGAAAGGGAGGACTGCTCTAGTGCCCTCCAGCTTCTAGCCTGAGCCACTGCAGGCATATGCCTGAATTTCTTCAGTCTAGAGAGAATGTCTGCCTGGTTTCAAACCAGTTCAGTCTAGCCAGGTTAAACTTAACCTGCGAAGTTTGAATCAATTCAGGCTTAGGCTTTTTGAATGTCTGTCCCTAGCCATAGAGACTTAATATATCATAAGTGAAGAGCTTTGCTTGTTTACTCATATTTTAGGTACATTTACAAAGGTTTTTATAGACAGTTATTAAACATGTTTATTTAGCCAGTGGAAGCCTTTCCTTTAGTGTATAGTTGGGGGGTTTTTTTCATTTTTTTCTGGATGCTGTGTTAATAGAAGTTATCTTCTGCTATGCTGTGTCAAACAGGCTACCTGTATTCATGGCTTTCTTGTAATATGATTATTGTCTTTATCTCCTAGATAAAGGTGACTTAACCAATTAGTTATGTGAAACCAAAGGGAAAGAAAATGTTCATGTAGTGACAATATCTATCTTCTCTACTACAGTAATGTTATTATGGTAACCTTAACACAAATACTGTGTTAATAGTAACATTGCATCATGTTATCATTTTAGAATAACTTCAGTATAGCAACTTGTCACAACCAAATTAAGTAGTGCCCATGTCACAAGCAAGTAAAACCATTCAAAACAGTTTTATTTTGCACTAAGTTAACTAAGGGTTAACAAAAGTTTTTGCCAGTAACCGCCTTTTTGCTGCGCATGTCAAAAAGAAATTTATTGCTGCGCCACTAACAGAGATAGAACTTAGCCTTCTGTGCTGTACATAAATCATTATAATTGGTCAAAGAAAACAAGGAGTAACCCTATGATAACACCCTAGCGAAGACTGCTAGATAATTGGAGATTCTAATTAAATTTATGACGTGGCGAAAACCAATCGGCTATTACACAAATAAAACCCGTCTTCACTTCCGTGAAGAACAGGAGACCTCCGCAGACGCAACCTGGAGACCTCTGAATGTATGCGTCAGAGTAACTGACAATTTGATCACTTGTCAGTTCCCCGCGTCTTCGACCTTATCTCAGACGTAAATCAATGACCTGCCGGCCCGACCATAATTCTGCCCGACCATTTCTATCCAACCACTTATGCAGACCGACCTACGACCTACGAACCTTAAGCTATAACTAACCAAGTATATCTTTGACCTCCGTCTTTCACCACCTTGACGGCGTGAGTAAATAATCTTGCTTTACAACTGATAAGCGTCCGCCTAATTAATTCCACTCCATGCGTCACAAGTACCCGCCTGACGGACCCTTAACTGCCCGGGTGGGAGTCAGGGAGAGCTGCTGGCCGGCTGCCCTGGGTCCCGACACAACTGTTTTGGGGAAATTAAAATGGCGTTGATTAAGTTATTCCTACAGCTTCTTAGTTAATATTTTCTTGTTTTAAACGGTGATATCAATACTTTGAGTGGTGGCTGCTTTCTTCATGTTCCCATGGTAGTTGTAAGGTTTCCTTGACAGTCCAAGTAGCATGAAGGCGATGGAGAGTTCTTCCAAGAAAACTTGTGATGGATTTATCTTCTCTAAGAAAGTATGTGAACTTCAGGCTCCAGTCCAAAGTAGCAATGTGCCAAAAACATCATCCAAAACTGGGTGGGCCACAAGCTGGAAATGGTACAATGGCACCATCTTTGGTGTAGGACTGTAATGCTCAACCTTCAGGTACCACAGGTCAGATAAGTGGTGTGAGGGTGTTCTGTGGGCCAGATTGGGCCCCAGGTGCCATGCTTGGGTCTGCACTTCCAGACTAGGTCCTGCACAGCCTTGGCTAGCCTTCATGTCATGCCCGACACCCTGGGATCAGACCCTGTACTGCCTCCACTCAGCTAGCATACTGGGATTGGGGCCCTGCATCACCTCTGTCCCACCCCATGGGGACCCTGAAGCCCTGTGCCACCCTGCATGCCCAATCTAGCATGCAAGGCCATAGCACGTGGACTCCTCGTGGGCCCCGGAGGGAGCCCTGCAGGTCAGATGACATGGTGCTGATCTGGCCTGTGGCCAGGGGTTGAGCACCCGTAGTATAAGGATATGTGTTACTCCAAGGGACACTTTCTAAATTGTATAGCAGATTTAAATCTTGCAGGCTTATTCCTTTTTTCAGTCAGTACGCAGAAGAAATCATCATCAACAGCACCATCAAAATTATCTAGAGAAAGGGTTTTTTGTTGTTTTATGCTTATTTTAAAACAGTAAATATGAAGTGCAGCTGGTTTTAGGCAGAAATGGAGCCAATTACATTGCTCCTTCTGGTGACAAATTGCTAGGTAGGAATGACACAGTGGTAACATTTTAAGGTAGTCATTTTTTTTATAAAGCAGTTATCAGTGCCACTTCAATGTCATTAACAATGATTGCTTCATGAAAAATATGTGTTTTTAGTGTGTTCTAGTACATTAGATCTCACTCTCCTTCCCCTGCTCTCACCATCTTTCTTCTTAAATTTAGTCACTCTGACTTACATTTAAGGATGCAAAACTAAAAGCTATTATGGGAACCTCCTAGAAGCGAAATTGATAATATAAGATGAGGTAGTGAAAGGAAGTAGCTGATTGAGCCATGACCCCTGCCTTTAACCTTTCCCATACCTTCGGGGAGACTGGTACTGCTCTGAGTGGTAGACTTGAGCAGTAGGGCTGTGCAAAACAGCACCGTTTTGTTTTGACATCCGTTTAAACCGTTTCAAAGCGATAGTGTTTTGTTTCATGGTTTAATTTCATTTTGAAGCACTGTTCCGTTTCGCTTTGTCGAAACTGTTTCGCTGCGTTTCAACATTTTGCCCATAGGCTATAATGGGGAATAATGAAAATGCCTTTACCTTTGTCATTTCTTGCTTGATGTGGATGAAAATTGCAGGACTGTTAGCCCCTTCTGAGGGCATGAGGCCTGCAAAGTTTCAAGGAGATATGTGCAGAGGTTTCTGGGAAACTGCACCTCAAACTGTTCAAAGCAAAACTCATGACACTTGCTGGCAGTGGCAACCTCCTGTCATCCTGAGCACAGATCCAGGGGCTCGCACCCCTGGGAGGGCTGTGGGGCTGTGCCAGACTCCTCCTGGGGGTGTGGGCTCCTGGATCTGTGCTCAGGATGACAGGAGGCTGCCACCTGGGACTGGAGCTGGGAACAGCCCACACCCAGTGCTGGGAAGACTGGTGCTGCTGTTGGCCCCAGGCAGCAGCAGCAGCCTCCTGTTACCCTGTGCACGGATCTGGGGGCCCGCACCCCCAGGAGGAGTCCGGCAGTGCTGGGAGAGTAGGCTGAGCTCCATGGGGCTGGCAGAGCCACTTGGAACACAGCCTGGTGGTGGGTGGCAGGGGAGAGCCAGGGCTGTGCTCTGACCAGCTCTGCCAGCCCCATGGATCTCAGCCGAGAGGCAGGAGACGGGGGAGAGCCAGGGCTGAGCACCGTGGGCCTGGCAGAGCCACTGGGAGCGCAGTCCTGACTCTCCCCTGCCTCCCAACACCAGGCTGCTTCAAAACTCGAAACGTTTTGAGTGCCCTCATTTCATTTCGAAGCTGTTTCAAAGCTTTTTGGTTCATTTTGATTTTGCTGTTTTGAGCTCGAAACAAGTCAAAACAGCTTCAGAATGAACCACTCGGTGAAATTTCACAAAGCCCTAGTAAGCAGTCATTACACAGAGACACTGGTTGGCTACCCCTGAACAGAGTAACATTCAGAGAAGTCATCCAAAATGAGGGGATTTAAGTGAGAAAACTCATTTTTACACCAGAGGGGAGGCATTTGGATGCTACAGTAGCTGCCAGAGACTGTCTGTGGGCTGGGCTCCCAGCCCAATGCAGGAAGGGAGGAGCCTACTCCTCAGCATCACTTACTCTCTCCTTGCAGCTCCAAAGCTAAAGCTTTACCCCTGTCACAGCCACTACTGAATTGGCAGCAACTGTTGGATGCTGAGCCAAAAGCTGCTGCCAATTTGATAGCAGCTGTGACAAGTTTACACCCCTGGCTTTTGGCCGAGAAGCAAGGAGAGGGTAAAGGTTCTTAGTAAGTGAACTCTGTTTCTGCTCCATGCAACTAGTATTCAGCCATGACTCTGGAAAAATCTTTTCTTCTTAATTCTGCCTTCCCAAAACAAGGTGTGCATCTCATTTGGGGGGCATGTGAGAAAATACAGTAAATAATGCATTGGATCCAAAAAATGAAACGGCTTCTATGTCTTTTGACTCTGCGGTGTGTGTGTGTGAGAGACAGAGAGAAAGAGAGAGCATGAAAGAGAGACCTGGGGTAGAGATTTTACAGAAGACTTCAGTAATCCCTAACTTGTATTCAATGAATGGGCAACAAAAGAATAAAATATATACCGAACTTAAATGAACACTTGAAAAGTTCATGGTTGTGCATGTACACACATAGATATTAATTTATTGTACTGTAAAGTTGAAGTGTAGTTGTCGAACGCATTGTCCTTTAAATACACAATAACAGAGTGATTCTGCAACTTTGGGAACTTAAAAGTATTGTGCAGGGGTGACTAACCTATAACGCACATGCCACAATGGCTTGGGCAGCCTCTGTGTGGGATATATGGCAGATTGGGGATTAGGCAGGGAGCAGAAAGCAGAGAAGCAAATTAGGCAGGGAGCACATGGTGGAGAATAGAAAACAGAACATGAGATTGGGTAGGGGGTACAGAGCAGGAAGCAGGGAGCAGAAAGCAGAGTAGCAGATCAGGAGGTGGAAGGGAATTGAAATGGCACTCACAGAGAGTGCAAGACTTAATTTGTGGCACGCATGCCAAAAAAGTTGGCTCCTACTGGATAATCTTTCTTTTTCCATGTACATTGTTTTTTCAGATCAGTAATGATCAGCTCTATCTTTGGTTCTGTGTATCCAGATTGGAGCTTCATTGGGAGGAAATATTAAAACTGAGTTTAGGTACAGGTTGCAGTTAATTATATACGATTTTTGTCATCTTTTGAATTGTTGTCGTCAGGATAATTTGAAAATTGTTTTCTTAATTATTTAAAGAAATAGTAAGACTGTCATTCTTGAATACACACTGTATTAATAATGAAAAGGGGTAAACATTAATCAGTTATAGACAGAATTAATGTTCAGTTCTTAGCAGGCCACCATGTCTGCTAGATGAATAAAGTGCAAATTTTAAAACCCAAAGCTATGTAAGGAGAATCGCCTTAAATACTCATTAAAATATCTATGTATTATTGAAAATCAAAATGTAGACTACTTGCAGCAGTTTCTTAAGTGAATAATCTTTTCTGAAATGGATAATTGATCAATACTGGCCTTTTTTCACAGGTTTTCAATACATATTCCAATGAAGACTATGACAGGAGAAATGACGAAGTTGATCCAGTGGCTGCATCAGCTGAATATGAACTTGAAAAGCGCGTGGAAAAGCTGGAGCTTTTCCCAGTAGAGCTAGAAAAAGGTATGCATTCTATGCAATATTTGTAGTTTATTCTAAGCTGATGTGCAGATCTATAAAGGGATTGTCACACTTGCCTACAGAGCATAAATTCTGTTCTCATGAAACTAATCCAGCTACCTTGGTTCTTCACACTTTGAAAGTATTCAGTACTTTCATTTCAGGAAACAATTCAAGGACACATAATTCTGTTTCTTTTAGATAATTGTCTCCTGTTGTTCAACTTCCAAATGAATTGAAACAATGTTTGAAACAATCAGGATGAGCAAACAGGCCAGTAAACAGGGTAGTTTGAGTGGGAACCTTGCTTGGTAGAAGAGCAGGAAGCAGTGGTTGCCTGAGGAGAAGGTTTGTGAGTGCTCTGGTGAGTGGAAAGGCCTGCCTGGCTTGGGCTTCATAGTGTAGCTTCAGCTTGGGAGCTATTTTTCAGGATTGTTTGGAGGAGTGAGCAGAGGAGTGTTCAGTTGTTAAGCCCAGCAGCTGATTGAGTTGACCTGTAATGTGACTGAGTAGGTGGGGCTTACCTAAGCAGAAAGGTTAGGCTTACCAGAACTTGGTGACGAAGAAGCAAGTGGAACGAGATAAGCGAACAGGCCAGCAAACAGGCGTTTGAGTGAGAGTGTGGCGTTCACAGGGGAGTGTTCACTGGACACTTTTTTTCTTCACTGTAAGTTTGCTGAGTGGAAGCAGGTAAATGAGGAAGAGGGGAGTTTTCAGAAGATCCAGTGGAGGAGTGAGAAGGAACTAGCAGGAGGATCAACAGGATGGGTAGAAGATATTGCAGTGCCAAAGCCCCCACCACTGCCAGCTGTTCCTCTGCCTGTACCTGTACAGGCTCTATCCATGCACCGCCATTAATAACAGGGGCTTAGTCTACCCAGGTTTTAGTCTGGCTTTGTAGGGACTGTGGCCCCCGCCTACACCCCAGAGCACATGAAAAGATGCTCAAGAAGCCCATTTCCCTCATCCTCTCCTCAGAAGTCATGTGCCCCAACCCCCTCACCATTTTCGTTGCCCTCCAATGGGCTCTCCAATTTGTCCACATCCTTTCTGTAGTGGGGGGCCCAAAACTGGACACAGTATTCCAGATGTGGCCTCAACAGTGCCAAATATTGGGGAAATAATCACTTTCCTTGATCTGATGGTTACACTTCTACTAATGTAGCCCATTATGTTGTTAGTCTTCTTCGCAACAGCAGTAGACTGCTGGCTCAGATTCCGCTTCTTGTTCACTGTAACTCCTGGTCCTTTTCTACAGAGCTGCTGCTAGCCAGTGAGTCTCCAGCCTATACTGGTGCATGGGATTGTTCTGTCCTAAGTGCAGGACTTTGCACTTGTCCTTATTGAACTTCATGAGATTTCTTTTGGTCCAGTCTTCCAATTTGTTGAGGTATCTCTGAACCCTAGCCCTACCCTCTGGCATATGTACTACTCTGCCCAGCTTGGTATCATCCACAAATTTGGTGAGAGTGCACTCCCCACCATCTTCCAGGTTGATGGTAGAGACCGACTCCTGGGGCACTCCATTTGATACCAGCTACTAACTAGACATCAAGCCATTGATTACTACCCTCTGACCCTAATGATCCAACCAGTTTTCTATTAACCTTACAGTTCATTCATCCAATGTCCTTATCTTGCTTGTGAGAATGTTCAAGACCATATCAAAAGCCTTTCTTAAGTCAAGGTATATCACATCTGCTGCTCTCCCAGCATCCACAGAGTCAGTCATGTCATCACAGAAGGCAATCAGGTTGGTCAGGCCTGACTTTGCCCTTGAATAATCCATGCTGACTGTTTCTAATCACTTTCTTCTCCTGCTAGCATTTAGAAATGGATTCCTTGAGAGCTGGCTCCACGATTTTTCCAGGGACTGAGGTGAGGCTGACCAGTCTGTAATTCCCCAGATCCTCCTTCCTCCCTTTCTTAAAGATGGGTACTATATTTGCCCTTTACCAGTTGTCCAGGACTTTTCCCAATTGCCACGATGTTTCAAAGATAATGACCAGTGGCTTTGCAGTAACATCAGCCAGCTCCCTCAGCACCCTCAGGTGCATCATGTCCAGTCCCATGGACTTATACACATCCAGCTTTTCCAAATAGTCCCCAATTTGTTCTTTCACCACCATCAGCTGCTCACTTCCTCTCCAAACTTGTGCTGCTGGGTGCAGTAGTCTGGGAGCTGACCTTGCCTGTGAAGACTGAGTTAAAAAAGACATCGAGTGCAGATACTTTTCACTTAACGCCGTCCCAGTTAATGTTGTTTCGTTATTACATCGATGATGTGTTAGAGAACATACTTGTTTAAAGTCGCGCAGTGTTTGGTTATAATGTTGTTTGGCCACTGCCTGTTAGTAGGTATCTCCTGTGACGTAATTGGATTCACTTAATGTCGTTTTGCTTAAAGTTGCATTTTTTAAGAATGTAACTACGATGTTAAGTGAGGAGTAGCTGTATTTCAGCCTTTTATACATCCTCTGTCACTAGGTTGCCTCCCCCATTCACTACCCACACTTTCCCTGATCTTGTTTCTGACATAGTTGTAGAAACTCTTCTTGTTACCCTTCATGTCCCTTTTAGCTGCAACTCCAGTTGAGTTTTGGCCTTCCTAATTTCTTCCCTGCATGCCCAAGCAATACTCTTATACTCTTCCCTAGTTGTGTGTCCAAATTTCCACTTCTTATATGCTTCCCTTTTGTGTTTTAGCTGACTGAAGAGTTCCCTGCTAAGCCAACCTAGTCTTCTGCCATACATGCTAGTCTTACATGTTTGGATGGTTTGCTGCATCCTCAGTAAGGTTTCTTCAAAGTACTCACCTCTGTTGGACTCCTTTCCCCCTCAGACTGGCCTCCCAGGGAATTCTGCCCATCAGTCCCCTGAGTGAGTTGAAGTCTAGTTTTTTGAAGTCCAGGGTCTTTACTCAGCTGTTCTCCTTCTTTCCTTTCCTCAGGATCCTGAACTCAGTCATCTCATGGTCAAAATGACTGCTGCTCAAGTTGCTGTCCACTTCTACATTTCCCACCAGTTATTCCGTTTGTGAGCAGCAGATCAAGAAAAGCAGGCTCTGTGCATTTGTGTACAGATATCTGAGATAGTTAGTGGATTGCCCTACCTTCTCAGGAAGAATGGGAAGGCCTCCCCAGTTGCCTTCTCCTGCTTGTGCTTCCTCCAGGTCATTCGCTTCCCCACTTACCTCAGGGGTTTGGTCTGTGTCCCCAGAGAACCTAATTTAAAGCCCTCCTGACTAGATTAGCAAGCGTGTCTGTGAAGATGGTCTTCCCTCTCTTCATCAGGTGGATTCCATCTCTTCCTAGCAGTCCTTCATGAAACAACATCCTGTGGTTCAAGAGACCAAATACCTTTTTCCATCTGCACAGTCATACATTGATCTGCAGGATGCATCTATTCCTGCCCGGACCCTTCCCTTTGACTGGAAGGATCAAGGCAAACACCACCTGAGCCCTTGTCTGCTTCACCCTTGCACCCACAGCCGTGTAATCACTTTTGATCTGCTCAGGGTGGTAACATCATGGAAGAGTCAGCTAGAGAAGGCACTGGAAGACAGGGAAGATGCAGGTTCTATGGAAGGTGGAAGCTGGTAGTTTGTCACCTCTAGCAACAAACAGTGCTCCTCATCTGAACTGTGGCTCTCCAGCTGGAGATCTGGTGTGAAGCTGTGGCAGTGGCTGAGAAGGAGCCCACTCCAGTGGCAAGACAAGTAATCCATTTCCCCTAAGGATTGAGATCACTGCTACCAAGAGGAAGCAATGGGTGACTCTATCCTACAAACCATAGTGGCATCCATTTGCCAACTTGATCTGTTGGCCCAGGAGGTCTGTTGGCTGCGATGAGTCCACATGAAAGACATAATGGAAATGTTGTTGAGACTCATCTGGCCCTGTGACTAAATATTCCACGTTGGCATTAATGGTGCTGTTAAGGGTGGCCTTGAGCAGGTCAATAGTGACTACATGGCCCTGGATGCATGGGTGAAGGGGATGGTGGCCCAGGAGCTGTTCTCATTGAACCTTCCAGTCAAGAGTAAAGGCCCAGCTAGGTGCAGATGTGTCCTGGAGATTCATATGTGGGTTTTTGGATGATGCCATCAGCAGGACTTTGGCTTCTTTGAGCATGGGGTGGTGTTCCAAGAAGATTGATTGCTGGGAGGAGATGAGGTCCATCTGACAAAGAGAGGGAAGAGTGTCTTCACATGCAGGCTTGCTAACCTAATGAGCAGAGCTTTAAACTAGGTTCACCAGGAGATGGAGGCAAGAGTCAAAAGGTAAGTAAAGAGCCAGGAGACCTGGAACACAGTAAAGGGAATCAATAGTGAAAGCTTTAGCAGTGTCTCAGGGAGAGGATAGGATAGTCAATTAGATACCTGAAGTGTTTATATACTAATGTGAGAAGCATGTGAAAAAACAGGAAGAATTGGAGCTCATAGTACAATCACAGAATTGTAGTATGATTAGAATGATAGAGACATGGTGACATAACTTCACATGACTGACATGGTCCTGGATGGGTATAGTTCATTCAGGAAGGATAGCCAGGTGAAGAAAGGAGGAGGTATTGCTTTATGTATGAAAGCAGTGTACATATTTTCTGAGGTACATTATGAAGTGGTAGGTAGGCCTGTTGAAAACCCCTGATCAGACGGGAGAGCAGCAGGGGAAAAGTCACAGGGAGCATCTATTACAGGCAACCAAACCAGGAGGAAGAGGTGGACAAGGCCTCTTTTAAACAACTGGCGAATACTTCCAAATCGTAGGACTTGGTTCTCATGGGGAACTTTAATTATGTGGATTTCTGCTGGGAAGGAGACATAGGAGTGCACAGTCAGTCTAGCAAATTCTTGGAGTGTGTTGGGGTAACTTTTTGATACAGATGGTAGGCAGGTCAACTAGACAGGAAGCTCCAGGAGGAATTGGCTGAGAGTGTAAAGGTAGAAGGTATCTTGAGTGACAGTGCCCATAAAATGATCGAGTTCAAGATATTAAAGGGAGGAAAAAAGGAGAACAGCAGAGTCAAGACACTGGGCTTCAGGAAAGCAGATTTTAACAAACTCAGGGAACTGGTGGCTCCTCTTGTAAAGAAGTCTGAAGGGAAAAGGAGTTGAGTAACACTGGGTGTACTTTACGGAGGCGCTTTAAAAGGCACAGGAGCAAGCTATCCTGATGTGATGGAAGAATGGGAAGTGCTACATCATGACAGTCTAGCTAGATAGCAATCTCTTCAATCAGTTTGAACTTAAAAAGGAATCCTTAAAAAAAGTAGAAACTTGATCATAGTACTAAGGGAAAATATAAAATTATTGCACAGGCATGCAGGGAGAAAATGAGGAAGGCCAAGGCATTGTTTGAGATGCAACTGTCAGGGAAATGTAAAGCAATAAAAATTCTACAAGTATGTGAAAAGTAAGAGGAAGTCCAAATAAACCATAGGTCTTTCATGGAATGCAGTCAATCTAATTATGGATCATGTAGTGAAGGCTGAAGTATTGAATGCCTTTTTTACTACTGTCTTCATAGTTGAGGACAACTACCAGAGTGCAGTTAGTAGGGAAGATAAGGAAGGAGGCCAACAGCTGAGAATAGTGGAAGAATAGGTTAGGGATTACTTAAAAGAAACCAGATATTTACTTAGAAGAAGCCAGTCGTCAGGGCTGAATGGGATGCACCTAGGGTACTGATGGGATTGGCTGAGGCAATTTCAGACCCAGAGCTCTCTTTGACAACTCATGGAGGTCTGGTGAGGCTGCAGATGATTGGAATAGGGTAAATCTAGTGTCTATGTTTAAGAAAGAAGAGAAGAACCACCTGGTGAATTATGGACCAGTCGACCTAACCTTGATGCCTGGAAAGACATGGAACCAGTCAAGGAATCTATTGTGAATAGCCTAGAGGACAAGGTGATCAAGACAATCCCATATGGAGTCAGGAAGAGCAAGTCATGCCTGACCAACCTGATTTCTTTCTATGATAGGGTGATGAGTTCTGTGGATAGGGGAGAGCTATGGGTGTAATATACTTTGATTTTATCCAGGCTTTTGACACTGTCTCCCACAACATTCTCATTAACAAGTTAAATAAAAGTATTTTAAGGTGGATGCATAACCAGTTGGATCATTATGCTCAACGAGTACCGTATTTACTTGATTCTAAGACAGGGTTCCTTCCAATTTAGCATGGGCCAAAAAACCCCTTGTCTTAGAATCAAGAATGACACAGGATGGGTGGGGGCAGGTGACTGCTGATGTGGCTCAGGCTCCAGCCCCTACCCAGGGTTGGGACCATAGCTGCACCTACTGCTTCCCCCTCCCTCCCCCACCATCACCTCTGCACCCTACCAACTCTCACCCCCAGTACAGCTTCTTTTACCCCATATTCCCCCCATGCAGCCTCTGCTCCCCTGCCTGTTCCTCTTTCTTCCTCCCTTCCCCCCCCCCACACCTTCTGGGGCACTGAGCACAACCCCAGTTTGGCCACATAGCAATGGCATGCAGACCTCCATGGTGCGCAGCATGCATTGCTGCTATGGGGGCTAGGCTGGGTTGGGGCTGTGCTCAGTGCCACAGGCTAGAATGGGGATAGAGTCTGCTGGTGCAGAGTGAGGCTAAGGGGTGGCAGGGAGACTGCGGGGAGCAGAGGCTGGGTAGGGAGCAGGGGGAAGAGAAGAAGCAGGGGGGAAGCAGGGAGCAAAGGTGGGCAGAAGGGAGAGCAGAGGCTGCAGTAGAAGCGGGGAGCAGAAACAGGGAAGGGCGATCCTGAGAGTGCCAGGGAGCAGAGGTGGCAAGGGAGCAGGCTAAGCAGGGGACAAGCTACTTGACTTCCCCATATCCCTTGCCCCTCCACTGCTTGTCCTGCAGTTGTGTGGGAATGATTTAAAGATGACCCTTTAATAGTTAAATTCTGTACGTGGAAAATTTCATAATGCATTTTCCATTAATATAATCTAATTACTGGGGGGGGTGTTAATTTCTGTGCTGTCTTATATTTGGGTATATATTGTAGTCATCAATTACTTGCTATTTAGTTGGGAGGAAGTATCAAGTTGTGTTTCCCAGGGGTCTGGCCTAGGTCCATTTCTGTTCAATATCTTCATTTAATGCTTTGGACATTAAATGCATACTTAGCATACTCAGTGCATACTTAGCAAATTTGCAGATGACACCAAGTTGGGTAGAGTTGCAGATCCTGGAGGGCAGGGCTAGAATCCAGAATGACCTGGATAAACTGAAGAAATGGCCCACAATCAACCAGATGAGATTCAAGAAGGACAAGTTTCAAGTCCTGCACTTAGGATGGAATAATTGTCTGCTCATGTTCGGAGTAGTTAATGATTGGCTAAACTGCAGGACTGCAGAGAAGAACCTTTTGATAACAGTAGACAATAAACTTAATATGCACCAACAGTGTACTATTGTTAAAAACAGCAATAGCATACCGGGTTGTATTAACAGGAGTAGCACTTGGAAATCAAGGGAAAAGTGATTCTTCTGCTCTGTTCGGAACTGGTGAAGTCTCACCTGCAGAACTGTATCCAGTTTTGGACCCCACACTTCAAGAAGGCTATGAACAAATTGGAAAGTGTCTAGTGCAGAGCGACAAAAATGATTAGGAATTTGGGAGGAAAGACTTATAAGGAAAGACTGAAAGAACTAGTGATATTAGTCTGGATTAGAGACGACTAAGAGTGGATTTGATGTCAGTCTTCAAATACCTGAAGAACAATTATAAAGAGGATTGGGGATGGGCTTTTCTCTGCAGCCATAAGGGACAGGACTAGAAGCAATGGCCTCAAGTTGCAGCAGAGAAAATTTAGGTTGTAGTCAGAAAGTTCCTCCTCATCCATGAGAGTTTTCAAGTATTGGAACAGGCTACTTAGAGAAATTATCCATTCTTGGAAGTTTTCAAGAGTAGGTTGGAATCGACACTTGACTGGGATGGTTTAGTCAGGAATGATCCTGCCTTGAGCAGAGGGCTGAGCTAGATGACCTTGTGAGGTCCTTTCCAGTCTTACTTTCCTATGATCCTATGAATTTTTCATTCCTCCTTTGAATATTAAGAATATTGCTTAGCTGTAGCACGCTTTCAAAATGGCATATGTAATATTATCTATTTTGTGTAACTAAAACTAGAGAAAAGTAAGGTTATCAAAAGAATATAATTATAAGTGGTTTTGGTCTCAAATGAAAAAAAACTCAACAAAACAAAACAAACAAAAAAACCCCACCCCAAAAATGATAGCCAGAGCAGAATTCTTCTGCTTTAAATGTCAGATTACTTTAAAAATCAGACATATGTCACTGCTTCTGTTTGTCTTCTTCACAGACGAAGATGGACTTGGCATCAGTATTATTGGAATGGGAGTTGGAGCAGATGCAGGTCTTGAAAAACTAGGAATATTTGTCAAAACAGTAACAGAAGGTGGTGCAGCTGAACAAGATGGCAGGTAAATTAAATTTGGTGTTTGGAAACTTCCTTAACAATAGCATTATAGAAAACTTCAGTTTTAGGCATGTGCGTGTAAATTCAATGTGAAGTCTTAGGTTCCTAGCAGATGTTACACTTTATACACAGTTAATCAGTGTAATAATTTTGTGGCTGTTTTCCATTGCACTTTAAAATAAGTGTGTGCCTGGATGGACTGCACTGGGGCCCCAAATGGGCCACAGTATAGTTCCTGCTGGCCAGTGCTGCCACTGATCAGCTGATGGGCAGCTGGCAGTGAGCACACCAGGGACCATTTAAGCCTCTTTGCAGTCCCAGTCTAGCTGATGATCAGCTGACCATTGGCTGGCTCCGGGGACTGATTGTGATCTTAGGCTCCCCCTGCACTGACAGTAGGGCATAATTGGGATCTAATCCTCAATCCCAGAATTGCTCATTCTGCCATGAATGCATGGCATGGCAGGAGGCGCAATTGATGAGATCACAGATCAGATCCAATAACACCTTTAACTGAACATCTGTCAGAGGCTGATAGTTTAAAAGTCTAAATGTTAGAGCTGAGATGCCAAAATGGGGGTACCTAAAGAAAATCATCCAAATAAAGAAAGCAGCTTAAATTTTCTGCAGTTAATGATTTTGAATATCTGGTTTGAGATGCTTTGAGCAGAGCAAATCTGTAGTAAGTGAATGCTCACAACTTCTTAAAAGCGAGACCCCTTTGACTTACGAATTCCTAATTTCTCATTTAGTATGCACTCTTTGAAAGTGATTAGCACAATCTTCAGGATTATAAATTTCTTAAATATGCACATTCATGGGTTAAAGGCTAGAAATGCACTTAGCACTGAGAGTGCTTTCAGTTTGAATAGGCAGCTGCATTCGAAAGTCTGACTACTATTTCTTCACTTTTATAGACATGGATGATGTTTTGTTTTCTTATAGAGTGCTTATTCAAAGTATAATTGCTCATGCTGTTGCTTGCTTTGGACATGCAGTTCAGTAACTTCTGTTTGAATATACAATACTTTCTAGTTGAATAGAGCAAGATTACTGTCTTTTGTATTTGTTTGCATGGTGCTTAGCATTATTGAGCCCTGATCCTGATTAGAAATTTTTAGCATTTAACTAATGGAATTATTTAAGAATAATAAAGTATTGTCAAACATTCTCCAATCCACATAATTTGTTGTTCATTTCTGCTTTTATGCTGTAACAGCTTTTGTAACCATCATATACAAATAAAATGTTACTTATCTTGCATATTAGAGATTGGTTTCCTTGTGCACACAGTCTGTCCTTTTGTGACAAAGCAATAACAATTACATTTCAAAATTTATATTCTAATGTTGTTTATCTCCTGGTGTCCTTGCATTGTTATCTTTATTTGCAGAGTTCATAGAATCTGGGAAAAGCCCTGTCTTTGCTTGCCACAGGCATATTTTCCATTGGATAAAAGTACAGTTTAAATAAAATATTATAGACTTTATTTAGGGCATCCAACTAAGATATGAAGGTTGAGAACGTTATGGTAAAGAAAACTTATATTCTCTTGGGCTGAAATCTAAAACCATATTAAAAAAAACAATTACCTTTCCTAAGCCTGAATTCATAAAGAAAATAAATTTTGAATTTTTTCTTGGTAGTGCTTCCAAGAAAAGGTAGTAAGTGAATATATGATCAGCTTTACTTAATTTAATGCACTGCACAGAAACTTAGGTATTGCTGTCTTTGACTAAAGTTGATCTCAGATACATGAAAGTTAAATGTTTAAAACCAAACAAACAAAACCTTCTTAGTGGACAATCAAGAAAGACCAGAAGATGTTGCTGAAGACCCAGTCCAGAACTTATTAAATCAGTAACAACAGTTGCAATGGCTAGAGCAGTGATTCTCAACCAGGGTGCCATGAGATCCTTTCAAGGATGCCACAGGGTGCTATGCAATGTTAGCACTGTTAGGTGTGCAGACATGATTCACAAGATAAACCAGAGGTTTCAAATAGGAATTCATAGTGTCAAAAACATTTTGACATATTGTGGTCTTTCTGAGCTCTTTCCAAGAGATGTCTTTCTCTGTTACTGTATTTTCTTGCATATAATGCATCCCCAAATATAATACTCACCTTGTTTTTGAAAGGCATTATGAAGAAATGTTTTTATTTCTAGAGTCATGACTGCAGTGAGCAGGGATAGAGCCTAATCTTCAGCTGACTGATCCTCCTAATTGTGTACCATTTCCTTATATCAGTGTTAAATATGTTGCCTAATAATTTCTTTGGTTGTACCAAATGATGCGCAAACCAAATTTGAATATTAAATCTGACAAATACAACTTAATTAGCACAAAAATGTCAAACCCAATTAAGAAATATGGACAGAATTGTAGATTGATTGAAATTTACTGAAATTATAATTTCTGCTCTAAGATATCTGTGACCTTCGAAGTTGCATAACCTTATGCAGCATGTGCAACTTTGAAGGTTAAAGACATCATATACTAATATATGCTGACTAAACCAGCCTAAAGATTGGGCCTGTTATGAAAGCCTTCAACATATTGATATAAAAATCTCCATGGGAGGGCAGTACAGATTTTACTGAGAGCTTACTATACTCTATAGAAATTGACTTTTGAAGTCTTCCAAACAAGGCCTGCAAGTATCGTTACAACTCTTACTTAGGAGATACCAGCATTAGAATGAGGCATAGACCTACTGAGCGCATCTGTACAAGACACTACGTTGCCGTAGCAATATGCTAAGGCGGGGTAGGCAGTGTTTTTTGGCTGGTGTGATGAAAAAACCACAATGTCCTCCTTGGAAGGTGCTGGAGTGCCTGCATGCTAGAGCCTGGAGCAGTTGTTTGCAGCCTCCCAGCTGCAGCTGGTCCACAGAACCCAGTCTGCTTACAGCAGGGCTTGCAGCCTCCTAGCCACCTGCTGGGAGCAGCCTGGGCTCTGTGGCTGGCAGCAGCTGCTTAAAACCCAGGCTGGTGGTGGTGTGCTGAGCAAAATGGCCTTGCGTGCCATGCTCGAGACACGTGCTGGGGGTTGCTGACCCCTGCGCTACGCCAACGTAGCATTGGCAAGCATAAAATGTGATGCTGCAGTTACATCGCTGTAGAAACGCACTCACTTGCTATAGCACGTTGCTATGGCGACATAGCAGCTAAAAATAGCCATGCACTGCCAGCACAGTGCAGCACAGGCTATTCCAGAAGGAATTACTAAATGACAGTGCATCAACAACAGTGCCTCCGGGGCACATGTAGATGTGCACATTGAGATTTAAAAAACATTAGGAAATAAAGAGAAGTTTATTCCCCACAATGTAATGGATCAGGACTGTTCAAAGCCTATAAGTGGCATATGGCCCCCAAGGGGTTAAACTGCAGCCCACAGTCTCTTAGTCCAGGCATCACTCCCCACTTTGCTTTTTGTTGCTGATGCCACAGTCTCTGGGCTCTCTCCATCCTTCCTTCAGCTTCTGCTGCCTGTTCCCACCCTGAGGGTGGAGTGGGACAGGGTGGGGTGGGGTGGTGCAGCCTGTGGGACTGAGCCTGCAGCTGCAGGGCTTGGGGGAGGAGGGGGGATCTGGGAAACCTGCACAGCGTCTGTGCTGGTGTGCTTCAGTGAAAGTTGCCTACTGTGTGGTGGGGAGAGCAAGAGTGATGCCTCCAAGTCCCACTTCTCCCCAACCCACCACACAGTGGGCAACTTTCACAGGGGGTGAGGCATACAACTTGGCGGGTAGCATCCATCATGGTGCATCAGTGTGTGCAGGATGCTTCCATGACTTGGCAAGTCTGAGTAGGCAGGAACCCATGTGAAGCAGGGGGGGGCGCTTGTGCAGAGCAGCATGAAGCCTATGCATTATGAGGCTGTGTGGCCTTCAGGTGTGCACCTGGGTGTCCTGTGGCCCCCAGCCGCTCAGAAATTTGACAGCCCTGTAATGGATCATTAATTATTTTGAGTTAAAATTCAGTGTCATCTTCACATATATATTCTATTTCATCCATAAATTATTTGGTGCAATGCTAGAATTTTCTATGGCATATATGCCATTAAATTTTATGGTATATATCAGGATGTCAGACTTGCCTGTGCCCCAGGCTGGATCTGACCATGGTGCTCCTTGTGGACCAGATTCAGCTTGGGGCACAAGGGCTGCTTCAGTGCCGCCATGCTGGCTGTGACAATGTGGGGTCCTACAGTGAGGGTGGGGGAGGTGCAGGGTCTGGTGGGGGTACAGGATCTGGCAAGGGTGGTGCAGGGTCTGGCAAGGATGGCAGGAGCATGGGGTCCTGTGGCAGCAAACCAAACTCACTGCTGGGCCAAACTAGGTCAAAGGCCCAACTTCTGGTGCCCTCCAGTAGTATGGTGAGCTGGATAAAGAGGCACTGCAGGCTGTATGTTTGCCACCCTTATCTTGTATTATGCAGAAAGTTAGACTGGCTTGCATTTGTCCTGCCTCTGAATCCCCACTCTGCTGATCTGTAATTTCCCTTCTCTACTCTCTACTTTAATTACTTATATTTAGGTTAATCTTTTTTTTTTTTTCCTCCTTGGAAAGCCTCTAGAAAGAACTTGTTTGCCAAGCAAATCATACTAAATTTTTGCATTAGTTCCTTTAATATGTTTCCATTTGACTGACTGTTCAGTCAGCCAAAGAAGAATTCATAGATTCATTGATTGTTAGGGGCTGGAAAGGACCTTGTAGATCATCAAGTCCACTCACCCTGGACTAGACAGGAAACTTTTTCTGAACTTCCATGATTTTTCTGAAATTATCACTGGGCATTCACTTGAGAAACAGGTTCATCACTCTCTGCATCAGGGTTGGCCCACACTTGAAGGAAAAACAGCTAGAAGGGTCCTTCTGGCCTCATACTGATTTGTTAACAGTTAATCAGTAACACTGATATTAAGAGACTGTTTTTAGCTGCAAATAGGAATATATTTTGAAGGATATCCCAGAATAATTGCATACATTTTTATGAGATTTCAAATGCTATGGTTTAAGCATTGGGACCTGGACATTACCACATTCCAGCAGACTCAATTAATTGAGTCTGCTCCAATGCGCTATAATTACAGCGTGTCAGAGAAGCCTCTCTGCACATGTATAGGCACCCTGTGGTTCTGTATGTGCATACAGTTGTAAAGACTAGATCAGTGCTTCCTAAACTTTTCCTCAGCATGACCCCTTACTCCCAACCCACAGACCCCTGGCCGTACCAGTGCCTCTTACTCCCAACCCACAGCTGCCTGGCCCTGCCAGTGCCACTCAAGCCCAACCCACAGTCTCCTGGTCCTGCTGGTGTCTCTCCCTCCCAACCTGCAGCCCCCGATCCCTCCCAGGAGCGCCCAAGCCCTGGCTGCCACCTGTGAGAGGCGGCAGCTTCTCAGGCAGAGCAGAGTGTGGAGCCCAGCTCCTGTACCCCATCCCCTGTGGCATGGCTGGAGCAGAGCCTGGGCAGGGGGGGAAGAATACAGGCTGCCTGCTGCAGGCTTGGGGCTCCCTTCCCTGCTCCCCTCACCCTGGGGGCTCCACGGCCCAGCGGCCGGGACATGGTGCAGGAGGGAGTACTGTGCCTCCTCCATGGCCACCAAACTGAGGTGCCCCCTAGCCATTCGGTAGTAGTGGGGACACAACTCTGCACTGCAGCCGCTGCTGCACCTCATGATGGCCATGACGGTGTAGCACTCCCTCATGCGCTGGGTCACACCTGCTGGCTGTGGAGGCAACTCCTGCCCAGAGCTGGTCCAGCCCTGTTGCAGCCCTGCACCCCACTGTGGGCACATAAATCTTGGAATCCCAACTGCTGATGTTGTGACCCCATTTAGGGTTGTGACCCACAGTTTGGGAACCACTCGACTAGATGGAGGAATGTAATTCATAATTCTAGCAATGTCTGAAATTGTAATTATGAGGTGCCTGTAACCAAGTGAAAGTACTTTTTACCCGTCTTCCTTGCTATTGATTCTGGTAGTCACAAATATCAAAGAGTAAGTTTGGTCTTGATTCGGGAAGACATTTAAACATGTGCTTAAGTCTTGCTAAAGTCAATTCTTTTCCAATTTGGGGTATGTATCATATGCTAAATATACTGCATAAAGTGTTCTGTGCAGTAATACTGTAATTCTGTATAGTACTGTGTAGTGCTGTGTGGCACAGTATTACCACAATTATATCTTAATGCAATTCCAAACACATAGCAATAGCTTCAACTTTTTTTACAGCATTTTGTGTTTTGATGTATAACTTAAGAGATTATTTTTTTGCCTTCTGTTTTTCTGAAAGGATCCAAGTAAACGACCAGATTGTAGAAGTGGATGGAATCAGTCTGGTTGGTGTTACACAGAATTTTGCTGCAACAGTCCTCAGGAACACCAAGGGAAATGTCAGGTAAACAGACATGCCAGAAGAATAAAATTACTGTGATGCTGAACATTTCAGATTGTCTTATCTTTTCCCATTAGAGCAGGGGTATCCAACCTGCAGCATGTGTACCACAAGTGACATAGTCAGGTTCTTTGTCTGGTACATGGCAAACCAGGTAAGGGGAAGGCCAAACAGTAGCAGAGATGAGGGTCAGCAAAGTATCCTGAAGAGGGTGATAGGCCACATGATTTGTTGGGGTTTGTTTTTTTTTTACATTGGTGTGAAGAAGGGCTTGTATTAATGAGGACTGTAGAATAATCAGTTTTTTCCTTTCCAATGCACATATGTTAATCTTAGTCCTTAAAATGCCTCTTAATATTCAAACTTCTATGCCCATGCCCTTAGTCACCTTTTATTACCTTTTTCTGGACAGCTTCTATCTTAGTTATTTTTTAAGAAGTGCAACCAAATTGAATGTAATATACAAAGTGCAAGTGCAGAGAGTCAGGGAGCAGAAAGAAGCAGCAGAGCAGTCAGGGAGCACAGGGCAGGGAGTAGAAAGTAGAGCAGCAGATTGGGTAGAGAGCACAGGCAGGGAGCAGAAAGTAGAATAGCAGATAAAGCAGAGGGTGAGGTGCTTAATCTATGGCACCTTTGCCAGAAGGTTGGACCCCACTATGCTAGATGTATCCATTTCTGTAGTTAGGGGCAATGAAGGAAAATTGGGAGAGTGATAACTGGTAGTCTTTCAGTCTGTGGCAGGCCAGTAGGGGGTGCCGCTGCCCACACCTCACTGCGTCTGACCACCTTCCAGGCTCCAAGTGCCTCCCTGGGGGTGCCTCACATCTGGCCGACCCCCTTCTTGGAGCACCCCTGCTAGCCTGGGGTAAAAACTGCCACCACCCAGGGCTAGGTTTGTTTCTGGCTCTGCATCCTCTGGGTAGCACAGACCTAGTAGCCCTCAAGGGTACTTGACTCACTTCAAGCACTTGGGGGTGCTCCCTCAGTCAAAAGCACAAGTAGTGGTCTCCCTTAGTCAGCCAAACCAAGGGGACCCCAAGGCATAATCTAGACCCACTCCCAATAAGTCTCCCACGCTAGGTACAAAGAACTTTATTGGTTACAAGGGGTAGGGTTGGAATAGGGTGCATGGTAGAGCAATATCAGAGAAATCCCATTGAGCAAACTGGCATGGCTGGGTAGCCTTTGATCATGCATCTGAGTTGTTGCAAGCTATGTATCTAGTTAGATCTTGGGTAGCTTAGTCACAAGTATCATCCATAGGCAGGTAGAGATTCCCTCTGGAGGCAGGCAGTTCCGTGATCATGAGTTTTGAGAGAGAGAACAAGTTTCAGATGGTTCAGCTGAGTCTCTCATGGCTGCTGCTCCCTCCTCCTGGGCAGTCCTTAACTTATATAGCCCTTATGTTCTCATTTACCTGGTCCAATGGAGGCCAGCACCTATTGGCTGTCAGCCAATGAAATGCATCACTAGTTGCTGGGCAGACTGGCAGTTCCTAGCTCCCCAGGGTGTCCAAGCCCCTCACCCAGGTATGTGATGTGAGTCACGTAGGCACAGGGAGCAGGTTTCCCCCCTCCCTCAGGAATGTATCCAGCTCAGGTTACCTAAAGAAATAGGGTAAGGTGTGTATCCTCTGCTGGGCCCATCCTAACCAAATTGTCACAGAGCAGAGTTTTTGGGGAGAAACAGAGGTGGCCTTCTGCCACACAGTCTCCATGCCTTTCCATCTTGCAACTAAAACTAGACTGTAGGGCTGTGAGAAGCTTCAGTCACTGATTCAATTCGGAGGAGATTCGGCCTGATTCAGTGGCTGAATCTCCAAATCCAAATTGAATCAGGAGACCCATTAATCTTTCCGAATTGAATCAGAAGCCTCTGCTTTGATTCAGAGAGATTCAATGATTCGGCCATAGACACAGCTTTATATGTTTTTTCTACATACCTCAAAGTACCAGGTGCGGCTCGTTAATGCTGAGATGGTGGGGCATATGGAATGTCCCACGGGAGCATGGGGGGTCCCCTGCGTGCTTGGCTGTGATCCCCAGTACTTCTGGTCCACTCCCAGGTCTACCACTGAGCACGCGTGGGGCCCGCATGTGCTCCTGTGGGCGCTCCATCCGCCCCACCATCTCAGCATTCATGAGCCGTGCCTGGTACCTTGAGGTATGTAGAAAAAACATATAAAGCTGTGTCTGTGGCTGAATTGCTGATTCTCCCAATCAGAACTGAATCTTCAGATTCATCCGAAATGAATCGGGACAGTGATCTGAATCAGTGAATCGAATCACTGTCCCCCGAATCACATACTGTCTGCTTCGCATACCTCTGGTAGACTGTGGTGTTATGATGGAGTTTTTTGGTGGGGAGGCAGGGGAATTGTTAGGGTTTTTTTGTTTTGTTTTATTGTTTTACTTTGGATTATGTGTATCTGGTCATTAAGTATTTGGCCAGACGCTTTACTGATATAACTTAGTAAAACTCCATTGTCTTCAAAAGATTAATACCATCTGAGGTTCAAATAAGACTCCAAACATGCATCAGTCAAATGGAGACAATTTTCAGTCGCTAGTAACCTGGAAGAGAGCAATTCTGGTACTATACAATACTAATACACTGAGCCACTAAGCCCTTAGACTTCCTATTGGTTTATCCCCATTTTGGATAGTCTGTCTGCTTCCTTACTCAAAACCATGTTAATCATTTGATAAACTCCTTTTACTACTGAAAACAGATCATTGCAAATGTCAGTCAAACAGAGATCAGGTTATAAAATGTGCAGTTTGTAAATACGAGATTATAAAATGCTTGCAATAACATTATAAAGGGATGTAGCTGTTTTAAACATGGAAATATTTATTATTTTTTTAAAAGAATACATACTCTGCCATGTTCTTTTGCTGTTAAATTATCTATGAATGTCAATAAATATTTAACTTTGAAAATCAACAAATGATAGGTTTGGCATTATTGCAAATTAAGAGATGGTCTGTTAAAGCTTTTGGTTAATTTTAGTTCCTAACGTTCACTGAAGGGAACACTGATTGGGCTTGTCCTTTTCCTGTTGACCTCCATGACTAAACCATTAGTTTTAATAGATGCTGGGGTCATATCATCGCTGCTTTCAATGTTGTCATACCTCCTGTTTGTGTTTCTTCTGTATTTAGTTTTCCAGCTGACACTTGTATAATATTTGGGGAAAACATCTGTTTTGGAATGAACACTATAGAAGGTGTGGATGGATGGGATACTATATTTTTAACTTCTTTGTCTGTTGTTTTGGTTTGGTTTTATCACGTTTCACATTTAGTATGGTTATTTAGCAAAACAAATACTTAAAATGTAGTTTAGTTGCAAGAGAGTATTAAGTTTTTTGTGTAACGTTTATAATTGTAGCTACATTGATTAGGTTATATATATTGATTAGATATACTTAACTTTAAATATCTCTTGATTTTACTGTTAAGCATGCATTTAAGTCTTTAAATTATGCATATAGGTCATTAGACTGTAAGGTTCTTGCAGCATGGGATTATTTCTACATATGTTTTGAATAGTAACATATTCAAAACATATGTTTTGAATATGTTTTGGTTTTGGTGAATAGGTTTTGGGTGCTGTTATAATATAATAAAATACTGAATAGTAGTAATATGTCTGCTGTAACTCTTTTGGCACTATATTTTTTGGTAAAATAGAGGCATCCAGTTAAAGCATGCACATAGCGCATGTTAAATATAGATGTTGTTTACATTTTTAATTAGTAATACTCATGTATTTAATTATTATCCAATGTTCTATGGGTCAGATTGCTCATTTCCATGGAAACTAATATGTTAAAGACAAAAGGATCCTCACACAGATTTCCCTAGGTATTTGTGTCAAGGATTAAATTATAATCAGGCTAGTTGCCATCCCAACCCTTTTGTTGAAAAATAATGTAGTGCACTGGATATTGCTTTATAGCTATTCAGCTCACATTATCAAGTGTGCTGCACATTCCATACATAAGGATCATTGGCTCCTGACAGGTCTCATTTATCAGGAAGTGGTTTATGAGTTTTTCATTGTTGCCAGTAGTAAGCTTTCACAGAAAGACTGGGTCTAAATATCTGTGGCACAACTAAATAAAGCAGGAGTTTAAAAACACTAACTATATATTTCTATGAAAATATGTTATAATAACATGCATACACATAGCTTCACAAAGCTAGTGGCTAGGGACAGACATTACATATTAACTGGTTTAAGTGATCAGAAACTGGTTTAAACCTGTAACAGAACAGATGTTCAGTGCACATAAACCAGTTTGAAAAAGGCTGAAACCAGTTTGAGATAAACCTGGTTGAATGTAGTAGCAGACTTAACTGATTAGGGTCAAACCGGTTAATGCAATGTCTGTCTCAGACCTCTTGCTGGTTTAAGTTAAACCAAACTCCCTAGCATCCCAGCATGCTCTTTGGGCTGAGTGGAGCTTTCTGCTTCTAAGCAGGGCTGGACCCTCCCCTCTGCTCCCTGGCTGCAGCTCCAGCAGAGAGGCTGCTCCCCCCTCCCCTCCCCACTCCCTACTAAGCAGGAATTCCTCCCTCCCCTCTGCCTCGCGGAGAAGTGTCTGTGTATTAGCTAGCAGACCACATGCTGGCTATAGTCCATACTGAATCAACAGGTAGACTCAACAGGCAGAAGGTAATGTCCCTCTGTTGTTTTCTTAATGGGGTGATAAACACTGAGTTAGGGGGTGATAAATATTGTTATGAATTCCCTTCTGGGCTAATCAGAGTGTGCTGCTGGGGTCTGGCCACAGCCCCTTCAGCTCAGTACTGTGGAAGGGAAGAGAGAACTGCTCTAGCGCCCCCCAGCTTCTATCCTGAGCCACTACAGGCATGTGCCTGCATGTCTGGGATGTCTGTGCAGTTACAAACCAGTTCAGCATAGCCCGGTTAGACTATCCTGTAAAGATTGAATCAATTCAGGCTCAGGTTTTTTGAATGTCTGTCCCTAGCCAG